TTTTTAAGAGGTTGATCTTTGTAGGATTTAAGTCTTCTATCATCTTGCCTTTCTTGTATTGCTATGTAATTTTTGAATGCAAGAAATTTTGCCTAAAATATGAAAGTTTTTCATGTAATAATTATATAGACTTTTCAAGTAAACCCATAAGGACATTTGCTAAATGTACAATCTTGTGTTCTATAAAAGTTCTATAAATTTAAATTATCCGTAAAAAATTTGTTTTCATCAAAGTCTGCCATAAACACACACTTATTATTAATTTGGTCTTTAATTATAGCCATTTAGAAGCACAAGTATGTTCAAGTTGAAAAAATGCATCTTTTTGTTTTAATAGTTCACAAACATTAGTGGCCTTACATCTGGTGTTCCCACTCGTACAACTCCTACTGTGACTCCTACAACCCTGAAGAATATTGAAACTCTCTTTGAACTACAGTCCATCCCTCCAGCCCCAATGGAACATCAGCACCAGGCAGGGTTCGTCCCTCCTGTTGTGAACGTTTCAACATCATATCAACCTGTTCCTGTAATCAAGCAGGAAGAAGATCCCGAGTGGATGGCCTCGATCCACAGCCAGTCTACCTGTAACAGCTTCTTTTCAGAAGATTCACTATCTATGTCTCCTCCACCTGCAGTGACAACTACCTCGGCCTCTAAGCCCCGCAACTCAGGAGGCAGGAGACCCAAAAATGAGAAGGTTAATCAAAATGCTTTATTCTGTTTATTTGTTCAAGACACACATATATTTCTTTAATGAACTAATGATGTCAAGATATTTTTTTTTCCATATTTTTCCATCAAATTGATTTAATTTAGTTGAGATTATTTTAAAACAATGAACTTTTATTTTATTCAAGATTTATGTTCCAGGCTTCACAAGTTCAGGCTGCTGATTGGAAGACAAGGAATTTACATTGTTACATATATGTATATTGTGAAGCCCTAATCAAATTGTAAGACAAAAAAATATTTGGCAAAAGTATATGCATTTCTGCATATCTCTCACACACACGCACATACCCCACAACTTATTGATATGGAAGAATGCAATATTACTCACTAACAAGTAATTAGTTACTAAATTCAAGTTATTAGAAGCTAGAAAAAAAGTAGCTTACTTGTGTGTATATTGACAACAGGTGTCACCAGAGGAAGAGGAAAGAAGGCGAGTCCGTAGAGAACGAAACAAACTAGCAGCTGCCAGGTGTAGAAAACGAAGATTAGATCACACAAACAACCTTTTAAAAGTAAGTACATAGAACACTGTCTTCAAAAAATGGGAGAGTATCAAAGAACTGGCCACCTAACTATTAATGCATTCCTGTTAGATTTTTGTAGAATTTACATTTATGTTTTAGTTCTAAATGAGTGTTTTTACAAGAGATAAATTTATTATATATATTCAGAAAAGGGCTACATCTAAGGAGAATTGACTGTCTAACTGTTAATTACTGCTAGATTCTACAATTGTGTTTTAATTCCTTAATGGGTGTTTCTATTCGTAATGTGGAATGTTATCACTGAAATAATTATAGTAACCAGCTTTCTTTCAAACTTGCAAAATAATATATAGGAGTGGATTTCTTAAAAAATAATAAGTTTGAATTGATTTAAAAGTTAAAGTATATGTTTCATGTTTTGAAAATGCACCTCTCTATTATTAACATGAAAAGTCCACTTTCATGATGTAATTGGGATTTTTCCAGCAAGTTTCTTGTAGCTAAGTATAGGATGTGTGAGCTATATTTGCGAGTCATTTAATACTTTCTTGTTAGAGAAGATGAAAATATGATCTTGTTTGTCGAAAGACATTTGGAAGATACGAGTCATATATGTGGCAAAAGTGAGTCACTATGAGCTCTGTCTGGACCTGTGAGTGTAGCATGACTCACTTGTCTAATATAGAAGATACGAATCAGACCTGAGTGTAATAGTACAGTACTAGCAGTTAACTCGTCAAATATTTCATGGTAATACACTTTAGGTAATGTTTTCTTGATCATGTACTGATCAACAGTTTTTCAGAAGTAACTTATTCTAAACTATGTATTAAACCAGTATAGTTACAGATAATTTGGAATGGTCACAGTTCATACATAATTTCTTTCTGTTGTGGATTGCAATAGACAAAAAATCATGAAAAAAGAAAGTATTGAAATTTCCATTAGTTCTATTTGATAATTCAGATTTTTTGTAGCCATTCTGTGAAAAATTATGATTAAACTACATTAATTACTCAATGTCATTCTTAGAAATATGGGAAACTGACATCACGTATATTTATATGTATGTTTATTTATATAGAACTAATTATTGTACTCATTACTTATCATAAGTCTCAAGGTAGGTGTTAAATAATGCAACAATTAAAGAAAATTACTTGTGAAACTGAAGCTTTTTATATTACTTTCATCGATAGGAAACAGATGGTCTAGAGAAAAAACGACTGGCTTTACAAAATGAGATTCAGTTATTGACATCCCAGAAGGAGGAACTTGATTTTCTACTGACAGCCCATAAAGCCACATGCAAGCTGGTCACCACACACAGAGCTGTTGAGAATGGAAAAGGGTCATCAGATAGTCTAGTGTTAAGGAATGGGCCTAACCATTCATGTGGTGATGGAATCTCTATCAGATCAAAGCCAGTTTCTAGGCCAACATCTCTTCCAGTATCATCTACATATCTGTGCTCTTCAGATCTTCCAACCACGGGGATGTTCAACATGGATTCTCTAATGGAAGGTGGGACCGGACTGACACCTGTATCCTCTGGAGCTACAGCTGTGATTTCATGTTCAGGACAACAGAGGAACTCGGGTAGTGAATTGTCCAGTCCAGACAGTGTGAATCCTCCAAAACTGGTGTCTCTCTGATCCAGTTTTTAAAATTTTTTGTCTAATTATATGAGCCTTTTAAGTTGTTGTCTTAGATTTAGTATTTATATCTTAAACTTCTGTCTGAGACTTCTCTAGAATAGAATGACTGTAATAATGGTTGAAACTAATGTTTTATTTGTCTTATTATGTTTATTACCGAACACGCATGCTATAAGTATTCTGTTTATGAATGTTTTCCTTTTTTTTTTGTTACTCGTATTTGTTATTAATGTTAAGTTAATCTATACATGTATTTCAATGAAGTGATAATTTCTTTTTTTTATTAGCAGATAATGATTTTTTCTTTATGATTAAATAAATTTGCATTTGACTTATTTAAATTTGTATTTCTGAAACTGATTGCAAAATGTAAACATATAATCTATAACAATTCATGGATTTGTTGAATTTTTGACAATGGCATAATGTTTTAAAGTAAATTTTATTAATAATCTTGCACTCTTAATAAATGCATACAGCTTCATGTGTCTTTGAGTTATGATGGTTATGCATATTCATTCACCTTAAAATAATTTATTTCACATAACCTAAATTCAACCAATTGTTCACACTATTTTAGCTGAAAATTTATATGTGTTTTATTGAGAAGTAGCTATATTTGTCTATAGATTTGAGATTGTGTATCACTGATGAAAATTTGTAACCACTATATGGAATTAAGTTAATTGAAGTAATTATAAAAGAAAAAAATTCTAATATCTATAAGTACCACAGTGTACAGCTACCTCTTCACATTTTTCATAGAGGATGAAGTATGAAGTTCAAAAGTAGAACAGGATATGGGTAATAAAGCTTTTAATTAAATACTGAAATAAAAAACGCTCCCTCAACAATCTAAATCATCTCTCATTCTAATAATGCACTTTGGTTACTTTAGTTACTCCATTTGTTTATATGTTACATTTACATTACCTGTGCAATTAAATTTTGATAAGGACATATAAAGATGCAAAAGTAATATTTTTTTCCAAAATAAGTGTTCAAGAGATGTGGAAAGAATTTTGAGTCATAGGAAAGCAAGTAAAAAGAGAAGAAATAAAAGCAAAGAAAAAAAGAAAGGGAAAATTTTAAAAATAAACTATATATATATTGGCTAATACAATTTGGGGGGGGGGGGGGTTAGGGAAGAGTTTTAAAAGCCTTGATTGAGGGTATGGGAAACAAATATAATAATATTATAAAAGTTAAGATTACTATTGAATACATGTGGTTAATGTAGTCATAATGTTGGCTCCTTGAAGTAAGAAGTCTAGTGAAGGCTTCTGTAATGATTATATTGCCTTGTTAAATAAGCTTGAAGGGTGATGTTTCAAGCAGATTCCAACTTGAAGATAAACATTAGAAATTAACATCTAAACTCCAAAAATATCTCTCTCCCAAGTGTCTTATCTGAAAAGCCTATTGATTGCTCTGTGATTAAATATTTCTAGATCGAATTGTTTTGTCATCGATTTCATAAAGATATTCTTGATACTTCTTTTGTATTCAGTATATAGATGTCAGTCTGTCCAACCTTCACACAACTAAGCTCATGGCAACAGTGATGTTTCACTTCGCAGGTATTTTGTTTCAGCAAAATGTATGAAGTTTGCCTTTGAACTCTATTTCTGTGACTATGATAGCTTTTCACGGATATTTAGTTTCATTATGTTATATTCTGCTAGATGAATATGGCTTGAAGCATGTGCTAAAGAGAACAAGATCTTACCTTAATTTATTAGATAAATGGAAAGAAGTATATTTTATTAAAGGATCTTTTAGTAACAAAAACCAAAAACACCATTGATTAGGGTAGTTTTTAAGCCTTATAAATTAATGCTACTCTCCTGATGATACTTTTTAAGTGAGATAAAGTGCATGAATAATATCTTTCCTGAAGTCAGAAGTTTTACTTTTTTGTAGAAAAAAAGTGAAGTTAATGTGTTTGAAAATGAAACGTGATTGTGAGTGTTTAGTGATATATTATTTTTCAACCATACATTTAGAAGCATGAATAAAACCTACCGAACTTTATGGTAACAGGAACATGCATCCTCTTTCCATCTCCATAATTCTTTTATTGAATTATTTTTGTTGTACACTCAAGCTTACAAGTAATGACAAGAGAAATGACTCTTTTGTAGTGGTTAAATAGTTTGGGTTCAAACTTCAAACAAAATATTTAAGTTGTCAGTTATCAAGAAATTCTACACATTACATTTGTGAAATGTACTAAATATTCTAATCACACACAGAAAATAAGATTATATATTTATGAATAAAGTTTTATCTTATTTTCTTTGTAATTGATTTTCTAATCAGAAAATTTTTGTTTGACTTTTTTTTTTTATTTGCCTTCCAAATTTAACCATTATGATGGCAGAGTTTCGAAGTGAGGATTTCATCACTGATAATACTGTAGCTGCTATACGTACGTTAAATGTTAGGTAATACAAAAGACAGCATTTTTTAAAATGTATTGTTATTATTATAGAACCATATATTTTCAATGAACAAAAAATTCATTTCCAAAGATATTTTGAAATAAGGTATAACTTAATTATTTTTTCTTTTACTTTGTGTAAATATAATTGAAGTTATTTATTTTGTTTTTGTACAGATAGAAATTTTATTTTATGCTTTACAGAAAATCATAAGGAGGGTAATTGCTAGCAGAAGTTAGGAGATTAATTTTCTGAGATGTTTGTCTATGTGTTTATAATTAGAATAAGTATGCAATAATAAGAATGAAGTACGGTAAACTATCTAGTCTGCGCTAAGCAGGACCAACAGTATTGTGGATTGTTGGTTTTCATGAATTATTGAGAAAGATAGTTTTATCTTTTTTTTTTGTTAAGATTATTTCTTAATCTGTTAGTATAAAAATGTTTAAGGGTAGCTACATGGAATGTAGTAAGTAAGAAATGTAACTTGAGTTAACAGCAAATCTTTGTATGCTTATTTTTCAAAATGTTTTCTTTTTTATCCTTACAAATATGATTTCATTCAAATGTAATAGAGAGCATAAACAGTGTCCATTGTATGTATAATTAATGTGAACTGGTTGCTGTTGGGGTGCATTTAAGACTTTTATATCAAACCCTGTATTTACTGCTATCTAATCCTTAGGGCTTTTGTAAGATTGGAGCATATTTTTGTACCCTTGGACAAGAACAATTTTTTAAAGAATTTTCTAATAAAGACATCTCTACTTGCATTATTTGTTTTATTCTCTTGCATATTCCAAAACATTTTCATTTTTTGAAGACACTTATTCATAACACTTAACCCTGAAATTACAGTCTTCTTTTTATACTGTTTCACATCCATTACCACTGATGTTCACATGTTGCATCCTGTTAAGTAATTGGATGTTTCGGCTTGTCTCAACATTCAGTGTAAAGAACTGACCAAAACAAAATTGGATGAAGTTGACCATTTTCTATGTAAAACCTGAAGAGGGCCCTAGCAGTAACTAATGGGATTAATTGCTTGGTGTTCTTAAGTACTGCAGTGATGCCAAAACTTGATTGCTTTTGGGAATGATATATAACCATGTCTACCAATGCAAAATATTCATAAACTCAAATCATAAAGATGTGTTCAGATATAGGGTTTAGAATTTCCAAGATAGGGATATTCCTTGAAGTTAATGGCATTGTAAAATAAAATAATACGGATAAACTTGGGACACCAGGACCATCCAGAAAGAGACCTGCAACAAGTTGTACCTCGGCTATTGTAAGCAGATGAACCTTTTTATAACATTTGAACACATAGGTCATTATATATATATATACATAAAAGTTACTTCCATGACATGTCAAGCAGCTGAAAATTAAATGTAGATTCATGCTATTTCATATGGAGACATACTGTCAAATCCTCAAATGCAGCACCTATGGATGGATGTTTGATCAGACTGCTGAAATGGGCTTTGGGAGAGTGCTGTTCTTGAACACTAAATCGGATATGAAAAGCTGCAGGGTGTGCGTCAAGCATGACAGCCTTATGCAGGGCTTGAACTGGAACTGTTCTGCTTGTTAATAATTCAGGCTATCAGTGTTCTACGTCTTCTGATTCGAATTTCAAAGTGGATTACAAAATCCTAATTTTGCAAAGAAACCTTTTATAATAGAAACTATGCTGCAGGGCTATTGTCAAGATGCAGGTTGTCAAAGAGAATAACTAGGCATGGTGACATGTAATGATGTGGTGAGACTTCAAAGTAATCTTCATATAATGTACTCTATCTGTGAGTCATAGAATAGAAACCCAGAGCCAAATGTGCTAATCCTTTTAAGCTGTGGAGTCATCATAATGTGATGGTCGATCCCAAATTTTGTTAGTATAGAGTAGCCCAAGAGATGCTGGCTGGTTGCCTCCCTGGGATCAACAGTTCCAAATTAAGGCTTGCATCTTCTAGAGCTTGTGGTAGAAAAAATAAAATGCTTTCCTTTTCATTAAGTGGAAAGACTCTGTATTATTTTTACCGAATGATCAAAAGAGCCCACTCATTGATAGAAACCATTAACAGTGATATCAGGAGTGGGATTCTTTGGGTAAAAGCAAAACAAAGTTTTGCCTGAACTTCTAAATGATGACATGTGCTTGAAGTGAAATCGAAAATTTGCTGGAAATGATGAAAGAGTGGAAAGGAAAAAATTTAAAAAAAGTCAAAAAGAAATCACAAAAAAATAAAGAAGAAAGTTTCAAAAAATTAAAAAAGATCAAGTAAGAGATAATGCATTAGGAGAAAGAGACATAAAACTAGAAGATAATTACAAAACTAAAAAAAGATCAAGAACAAAGACATAAGACTTACAGACAAATTGTAAACCCAGATAAGTTTAAGGGAAGACAAGAAAAAAAAATTTGCATACTATAGGTAGAAAGCCAAAGTAGATGAACAAAGAGAATATAACAACAAAAGCAAAGTATAAAAGGACATCACTGAAGTATAAAAAACATCAACCAAGTACAGAGTGATTATAACAACAAAACCAATGATGTAGAAAAGAACATCTTCAAAATGAATTAGCAAGTGCAAAGATCAAATCAGCAAAATCCTCGCTCTGCATCTGCTCAAGAATTCCATCCTCAAACATCTTTAACTATAAGACATGGAATAGAAGAACCATTTCTGTCTATACTTAATACCCATACTGCTGCAACATCCATGAACTGCGTCACCTTCCTGGACTACTCTATCTATAGTATTACTTCATCAAGTTACAAAATTTGGCAGTCCAACTCAATAACACCCAACTGAAAAGCCAACAGGCCATGACAGGAAAGTGCCATTGGAGGCATATAATTTCGAAGTAATTTCTTAAATGAATGGATGGAGTAATAAACAATAAGCCTTTCATGTTGCTGTCCATTTAAAATAACCAGCTTTAACAACAACTAGCAAGCATTGATAACTGCTTTACTAAACAGCCTTGAAATGATACACCTTAACGAAGTTTCCAAAGCAAGGTTCAGGATCATAATACTGTTGCTCAGCGAGGTCATGTGACTCGTTCTCTCGAACCTTCGGG